TATATATATATTGGGTAAATGGAGGAAGGGCATTACTAATGACAATAGGGAGCTCACTTATCTGCTCCCTAATGTGAAGAGCAATTAATTGTGTGCACCAATCCATTGTAATCAATTAGAGATACTTTTTCAATTGTCTAATCACCCTGAGCTGGTAAATTCAGGTCCAATAGTTTGCTGTATTCACCGTCCTCTACCCTATACATATCCATTGATATGTATTCAATATATTGGTTCACAAAACACAAAATAAATGGAATTGTTAAGGCGGATTATTTACCAGGGCACAGGATGCATAAGCAATGGCATTGGCTAGTGGAAAAGTAAACTTTCACAGTGTTGCGAAGCCATGTTGCTTGCGCCTTATAAAATTAACCATAGCAAAACTTTCTAACTGCAGCATGACCACAGTGTCCTACTGGCTGCTATAGCATCATCCAGCACTGCTTTAGATAAATGACCTTGTTGTTTTTCTATCAAAAATGTTCATATAAAGGGAAAAGTAATCCCTAAAGGTAGATGGAAATTGACAGGCACACACCACTTGGGTTCTGAATGGTTAGTTAGAAATAAATTCAGGGCCGCTGGAAAAGGACCTGGCAAGAGATATGAGTTGTGTTTTAGTAGAGGAGCTTCTAATATTGCAATGATATACATTGCCCTAGGGAAGTTGACAGTTCCAGAAATCTTTTACTTGCGTTTCTCTTTCAAAGAATCATGCTGTACATTAAATCGAAAGTTAGGAGAAATTTCCACTACTTGCTGGCTTTTGTGAAAATGCTTAATTCATGTATTATTAGTTAACTATTAATACCATAACCCTTCTGCCCCATTTGCCCCTGAAAATGTCCAGCAGTGGCAATGTGAATACAAGGTAAAATTATTATTCACTGCTTTATAAATATGCCCATGCCTATAATTACTAACCACTGCCAAATATGAACTAATCATCTTATAAGCAACCTAACAATGCGTAATCAGTAAAGAATAAAGGTGGCCATACACTGTACAACCATCGCAAGACCTTAGTCTTGCGATGGTTGTAAAGGGATTAAAAAAACGTACGATCTGCCTATCTTGGACAGGCAGATCGCACTCTCGATCATTGCAAGCCCGCCCCCCTGAGGGGCGGGCTTCCGATGACCGCAATGCTGAACGGGCAGTGTGCGCGTGCGCACACCGGCCCGTTCAGCATTTGTCTTCCGAGCACCGTTCTAACCAGCCGAGAATCGTACGATTCCCGGCTGGTTTTCGAACAAAAAAAAAATTACTAATGACAATAGGGAGCTCACTTATCTGCTCCCTAATGTGAAGAGCAATTAATTGTGTGCACCAATCCATTGTAATCAATTAGAGATACTTTTTCAATTGTCTAATCACCCTGAGCTGGTAAATTCAGGTCCAATAGTTTGCTGTATTCACCGTCCTCTACCCTATACATATCCATTGATATGTATTCAATATATTGGTTCACAAAACACAAAATAAATGGAATTGTTAAGGCGGATTATTTACCAGGGCACAGGATGCATAAGCAATGGCATTGGCTAGTGGAAAAGTAAACTTTCACAGTGTTGCGAAGCCATGTTGCTTGCGCCTTATAAAATTAACCATAGCAAAACTTTCTAACTGCAGCATGACCACAGTGTCCTACTGGCTGCTATAGCATCATCCAGCACTGCTTTAGATAAATGACCTTGTTGTTTTTCTATCAAAAATGTTCATATAAAGGGAAAAGTAATCCCTAAAGGTAGATGGAAATTGACAGGCACACACCACTTGGGTTCTGAATGGTTAGTTAGAAATAAATTCAGGGCCGCTGGAAAAGGACCTGGCAAGAGATATGAGTTGTGTTTTAGTAGAGGAGCTTCTAATATTGCAATGATATACATTGCCCTAGGGAAGTTGACAGTTCCAGAAATCTTTTACTTGCGTTTCTCTTTCAAAGAATCATGCTGTACATTAAATCGAAAGTTAGGAGAAATTTCCACTACTTGCTGGCTTTTGTGAAAATGCTTAATTCATGTATTATTAGTTAACTATTAATACCATAACCCTTCTGCCCCATTTGCCCCTGAAAATGTCCAGCAGTGGCAATGTGAATACAAGGTAAAATTATTATTCACTGCTTTATAAATATGCCCATGCCTATAATTACTAACCACTGCCAAATATGAACTAATCATCTTATAAGCAACCTAACAATGCGTAATCAGTAAAGAATAAAGGTGGCCATACACTGTACAACCATCGCAAGACCTTAGTCTTGCGATGGTTGTAAAGGGATTAAAAAAACGTACGATCTGCCTATCTTGGACAGGCAGATCGCACTCTCGATCATTGCAAGCCCGCCCCCCTGAGGGGCGGGCTTCCGATGACCGCAATGCTGAACGGGCAGTGTGCGCGTGCGCACACCGGCCCGTTCAGCATTTGTCTTCCGAGCACCGTTCTAACCAGCCGAGAATCGTACAATTCCCGGCTGGTTTTCGAACATGCTGGTTCGACGGAAGACGTGCGACCGTACAGTAGAAACGGTCGCACGTCTCCGTTCACACAGCTCGATTCTCGTACGAGAATCGAGCAGTGTATGGGCACCTTAACTCTCTCCTTTCTGTCCCCCCATCACCCAGTTATTCTCATATTGGGTGCAGCCAACTTGCCTTTCATACAGTATAAAGTAGGAGAAGCCATGATGTTAATTACAGCCTGCAAATCAAAGATACCTCTGCTGTTCATGTGACAGGAATATATACATCAGTGGCAATAATGGGGAATACATAAAGGTGGAGTTAGGGCTTAGCTGTTGACAAACGTTTTAGCTTGCTTCAGCTGCAAGAAGGAAACAGCCAGCAGCGGTACATGACAGTGCCACTATGTTTAAATGCTTGGGGAACTAAAAAGTTCCACCTATTTTATATTTGTTACATGTTCCCATTCACATAGAAAAACGTGTGAATGGGAACACATAACATAACTCAAAAAATTGAGTGCAAAAGTGGAAATACACTTTAAAAGCTTAAAGTGACACTAAACTCAGGAGCTGAAACTTAAAAATGCATTCAAGTAACGTAACTATTAACAAAATGTACCTTATTTGTGTATTATTCAGCTGTAGATCCTCAAATCATCTCTGAATTGGTGCTGACACTGTCCTTCCTTCTAGGGGTGGATAGTTTTGTTCTCCATTGTCCCTGTGTCCATGGAGTAAAGTTGTAAAGTAGTCGCTACTCCAAGCTCGCTCCCATAATGGACTACAATCTCATGTTTAGTTTACTAATTTGTATTGATGTAATAGTCAATCATCGGAGCGAGCTTGGAGCTTAAGATAATTGTCTATCAATGGTTGCAAGCAGGAGTAACCCTCCCTTCAACACTGTTGTTCCACCTCCCACCCACCCCCATCCTCTTTATTTCTTATGTTTCCTTATCTTTTCTCTCTAGAATTTTTGTTTTCTCTTTTTTCATGTTTTGTTCTCTTTATTACTTTATATTTTCACTATAATAAAGCATACCCATATTAAGAAAATATAGAGCCTGCCATTGCTGACCTCTCCTACCAGGACTGCTGGTTGTCTAGCTAACAATCTGATCCAATGAATATACATACAGGCAACTAGATGGTGGTCAGTCAAAGTACAGGTGTCATTTAAAAGAAAAGTAAGAACAAACCCTTTTTTTTGCCTTTGCTTCTGTTTTGGATCACAGGAGTACATTCACTAATGTACTCTTCTGACCAAATGTCATGCTGCAGTCCAGAAGGATCCTGACAATATTATCAGGAGCCAACCCGGTTGCCTAACTGACAGCTGGGTTTCTGTGCTGGAGAAGCAGAGACGGTAATCCCTGTGGG